AGCTCAGCGTCTTCCCAGGTGACCACAGGCCTTCCTGAGGGCCATGTAGCCATGGCGATAGCCCAGTGCTGGCTCCCAGACCAAGAGCTGAAGTGGCTGGGGAACTGGGGGAAGTGGTGTTGCTGTTGGCAGGCAAGAACACTCCTTTTCCTCTCGGCCAGGGGCCGCCCACCATGCCACCTAGGGCCTGGCCACTGTGATCCCCATGCCAGTGAGCCTACACCCAAGGCAAGAAGATGGGTCGGTGGTGCCAAGGGGGAAGGGGTACTGGCTGAAGCTGTGGGTTCTCAGTCTCTCGGGGCCCACAAATACACACAGGCTCACTTCACAGACTTTAAGGGTTTTGTTTTTTGTATTTTTTTTTTTTTTAAACAGTCTGGTCCCTGATGGGGGCCTCTCCACTGCCCCTCCCCAGTTTTGCTACAGTTCTGAGCGTCGCTCGATTTTGAGTAGCTCCACCTCGAACACAAGGGTTGCGCCGCCTGCAGGGGAGAAGAGGGGACAGAATGAGAATCAGGACCACAGGGAAACAAGATGGGTGTAGGACCCTGGGGGGCAGGGAGGTGTATTACCTGGAATCTTTGGGGGAGCTCCCCGCTCTCCGTACCCTGTCAAAGATGCACAAAGAAACAGTGAGGTGTAGCCAGGCCAAGGGAGAGGTGTGCTGCAGACACCCAGCCTGAAGCCAGGCCTCTGCCCATCTCAACAAGAAAGCCAGAAATGGAGAAGGTGTAATGGAGACGGCAAGGGGCTACAAAAGGTCAGGTAGGGGGCAGAGAGCGGGATCCAGAATCAAGAGTCCCAGGGGTCTTGCCCTGTTCTCACTGCTGGGCATGGTTAGACTTGGAAGAGGCATATGCCATAATGAATGGATGGGGTGGAGATCGATGCAGAGGCTGAACCAGACTTCACCCTTCCCCAGACACACACCCTAAACTCCCCTATTCAGGCTCAGGAAGGGCCTCTTACCCAACTCTGATGGGATCACCAGCTTCCGTTTTTCTCCCTCACACATCCTGCAGGACAACACACGTTCAGCACAGGGCAAGCACCCAGGTTCCCTGCCCCCCACCCCATCCCCGGGGGGCTTGCCTCCCACAGTCAACCTCATCGACCACACCCACGGCCCCCTGACTCACCCCAGCAGCCCCTGGTCCCAGCCCTTGATGACCTGGCCTGTGCCCAGGGAGAAGACAAAGGGCTGGTTCTGGGGCAGGCTGCTGTCAAATTCCGTCCCATCTTCCAGCTTCCCCTGTGGGACCATGGGAAGGCCAGTGAAGAGGAGGGTCCACTCTGAGATACCTCCCCACCCAGCTGCTCTCCCCAAGCTGGCTCCCCATTTCCCCATTGGCAGCCATAGCCCTAGAAGGGGACGGAGCCTTGGGTGGGCAGCTCATAGGACACTGTCACTGCTTGCTGGTGCCAACCTTGGGATCAGGCAGTGAACAGCAGGGGAGAACTATGGAAACTATGTAAAAGGGAGAGGGGACTTGCCCAAGGTCACCCACCTTGTAGGCTGAGGGATCTGGCTTCCAAGTCTTCTCAGGTCCCCAGACGCCCCACCCACACCAAATGACCCACTCCCTCACCCACCGTGTAGTGCATGTGCAGGACGTCCCCCTTGCGCGATTTGATGGGACAGTGGTCCACCCGCTTCTTGACCCCGATCTGCAGCTTCCGTTTGCCCTCCGCCCCCGCAGCAGTGGCCAGGGCGCTCAGGCAGATGGACAGTACTGTCAGGACCCAGCTCAGCCTCATGTCTCTGCGGGGACAGACCCCGACCGACCGACCAACCGACCGGGGGGTAGGGCGGGGAAGGCATGGAATAGGGGCAGGTACCAGAAGAATTCCACCCCCACCGTACCTTGCCTGCCCCTGGGGATCCCCTTGTCCCGGGGCCCCACCCCCTCCCCCGGACTTCGCGGCCACACTTACCAGTCCAGTGAGAAGGGGGCTTGCCCGAGGACCCCAGCAGCGGGGGGAGGGGGTCAGGGGAGGCCACAGCAGCCAGGGCCCCGCCCCTTTGCTCACCCCCAGCCCTTCCTTCCCTCCCGGTCCCCAGCTCCTCTCTTCAATTCCCACCCGTCCCTTTACGCAAAGTCCAGACCCTATCTGGCTGTCCAGCAGTTGCCTCGACAGGGCGACCCCATTCACGCCACACCCAGTCGCCCCCCGCCCAGCACACCCACACTTCTGCGGCCGCTGCAGGGGGCCTGCCCCGAGGGACCCACACATCGCCGCTGGATGGCTCCGGGGAGCCCCGATCCTCCGGAGGAACCCCCCAGGCCGGGCCTGTCCCTCCGCCAGGGGCGCCGCCCCAGCTCTGAGCCCTCGGGGGCCTGCGGGGTACCCAGACTGGTCCCGTGTCGGGTGGCCGCCGAGCCCGCTCCACCCACACCACCTCTCCTGGGGGAGTTCTCGGCCTACCGCGTCCCCAGGCCCGGCCCCCACGGAGGCCGCCCCCGCGTGGACGCCCCGGGCCATTACCTGGGCCTACCCCTTCGCTTGACTCCTTGACCCCACCCTTTAGAGGACGTAGTTCCGCCCCCTGCTCTGGAGCTCCGCCCTCGACAGAACCAGACCCCTTTTCCTGAACGGTAGCCACGCCACTCACCGGCTGAAGGCCCGCCCCCAGCGCCTGAGCTCCGTCCCTTTCGGTCTCTACACCCGAGGCTCCGCCTTCCGCCTGTTCCAGCTCCTCCTCCAAAGACCAGGATCCGCCCCCCACCAGTCCTAGCTCCGCCCCCAGCCCCGGAGTTCCGCCTTCTACTGGAACCAGCTCAGAGGTTCCACCCGTCTCTGTTCCACGTCCCGCCCCGACTCCCGGGGCTCCGCCCCGTGCGGCGTGAGAACCCTCCCCCTGCGGCATCCCCAGACAGCTCCGACCCCAACTCCCAATTTCTTCCTAACCTATCCCTCGTTGACGCTCGGAGCCCCAGCCCGCTCCTGCCCGGCCTGATCCAGCCTGCCCCCTTGCACCCCGGCTCCCCCCAGCCCGGGCTGTGGCCCCCGCTCACCTCCTCGCCGCGCCCCCGGAGTCAACCCCAGTCGTGCTGCTGCCTCTGCGCAGGCGCGTCATCGTCGCTACCCGGCCCGGCCACGCTGCCCGCCCTCATTGGACTGTGCGAAACCCGCTGCCACACGCCCGGTGGGGCGGCCTTTCCCCAAGCCCCGCCCTCGCGCCACCACGTGACGACGCGCTGCTTCCGGTGGCTGGGTAGTCAGTAAGGTTAGGTGAAAGTTACTTCCTAAAGTGCCTTCGGCACTTCCGGTCGAGGTGAAATTGAGGTCAGACGGTCGGGGCTTCCCGGAGGGGGTCTTGAGACGCCATTTTATTTCATCCCCAGGTTCTCCCAAGCGTTCCGGTTTGTCCCTGGGCCTCTTCGTGATCCCCAATCTCCAGTTCGTTGCAGTGGAAAGAGCCTGGGGTTCAGACTTGGGTTTGAATTTGGGATCTGCCGTTCATTGACTGGCAATGTGACTTAAGCGAATTCCTGGACCTGGTAGGATCTGGAGTCTCTGTACCACGGGCTTGGCAGCATCCACCTGACAGGGCCACTGTGGGATTGCGGCCATGAGGGGATCCACCAGGCCCTGGCCCGCGGCTAATGCTCTCCCTTTCCTCCGCGCTGGCCTCCGGGCCTGCCTCTGCCTGCCACGCACTGACCGGAGTCACGATGGCAGTGGTCTGGTTGGGCCTGTTCCCCCAACCAGACTGGTATTTTCAGGTGCCCCAGCACCCAGCAGTGCGCGGTCAACATCTCTCAGTTGAAGTAATGAACTTGTAATTGGGAGGCAATGAAACCTAAACTGAGCGTTAGAGACTCTAGCTGGAGGTCACACCCCGGGTCGATCAGCCTCTCTGATCCTGTTTGTCAATTAAAAAAGGAAGCCAATCAGCGGCGCCATCCTTAGAATTGAGAACTAGGGGAGGGGGCACATACGAAGCACTGTGTGTGTCCAGCACTGAGTGGGCTGGGGGGGAGCCGCTCTTGGGTCCCCAGCCCTCATCTGTCTCACTTCCGTTGAGCTATGGCATTTTCAGTGACAGCATAGCTGAGAAAAATGATTTGAAATTGGTAGTCACAGGAATTGTCTCTTCTGGTTGAACCCCACTCCTGCCTTGGGCCCAACAAGATCACTACCATGCCCTCCAATCTCACACCTCAGAGAATCTCTCCATTAGGGTAACCACTTAGGATTAACCTCTGCCCCTGAATGTCCTCTCTCAGCAAGACAAAGCACTGGGTCCCCAAGGTTGGCCTTTGGTTCCCTGCACCACCACCACCCCGACCCTGAGCTCCACCCCAGGGACACTGGAGACTGCAGGAAGAGGGCTGGGCACTGAGCTTAGGCTGGGTCAGACAAAAGTCAGGAGAGTCCCAAGCAGGGGCTGGTGAGGGGAGCCCAAGGGGAAGGGAGGTGAAGGTGGAGAATACCATGTGGTTGGGGTGAGGGGACCTATCTCCCAAACCGAGCCCACCAGCCACAGCCCTTTGGTACTTCCCTTTCAGGGATGTGGGGACAAGGCAGTGCATGGCTTGCGTTAAGCTAGAGGAAGTAGGTTACATACAGAGTGCTGCCCAGCAGAGAGGATGGGTTTTTCTCTCAAGGGAAAACATACTCAGACTTTCCTGGAGCCCAAGAATGGGGGCCAGAGCGCTCATCCATTCCCTCCAAGTGCACATGTGGAAGCTTAGGCTCAGAGAGGGGACAGTGACAACCGAGATCATTCCGCAGATCTGGGTCCCACATCAAGCTCACGGGCCACAGCAGGCCGTCTCCTTCCAGAAAGGAGCCTCTGTGTTGAGCAGGAGGGACAGGGCCCGGATGGGACAAGAGACTACAAAGAATACACATTTCCGGCTCTGTGACCTGGTGGGGGACCTCAGGCCTCTCTTCCTCCATCACATAAGGGAGTCAGACCAGCTCTGCCGTATGACGCAGAATGCCTGAATTCCCCCAGCCAGGACAGCGACAAACAGGGACACAGGCAGGGATAGCTCCTTCCATCTCTTTTATCAGGCTTGGGGGTCACAGTTCTCACACCAAAGCCCAATTCCCAGTATGTGCGGAGGATCGGTGTCTTCTTAGGGAGGGGATGGAGCCAGCTGTAAGACGCTCACTCATACATGGTGGTCGCACACTGAGACGGGACCCCTTCTCTCTCGAGTTAGTCCGGGACCCCTGGTGCTGCCTGCACCTCTCCTTGCCCAGCTGTCCACCCTGTTGGATGGCAGCCTTGGAGAGACCTGGGACAGCTGGGAAGTCCTCTGAGAGGCCCAGGGCCTGGAGCAGCTTCTGCCTACATGGAGATCTTGCGACTGGGCTCTTCTCAACATACTGCCCTCTTGTCCCCCTCTGGGGGCGGGGGGTGGCCGGTGAGGGCAAGTGGCTGAGTCTGAAAAGCAACGTGTCACCTTCGCAGCTTTCGGCACCTGAGGGAGGGAGGAAGGGGTCTGTTCACGCAGGCACGGCTCGGCCCCTGCTTCTCTACATTCACCCCTTTGTTACCTTCTGTGAACTCCATTCTCTACCACTCCTGGGGAGCCCCAACTGACCTGCCCACGTGATGCCACCCCATGGCCTCGCTGTGGAAGGGAGGAGTGGCTGAGAAGCACCTCAGACAAGGGTGGACAAGGATTCCACAGTGTCCCTTGGCCTCTCACAGAGACCCAAAGGTGGGACAAATGTCTCCCGCGGAGGCTTTTAGGAGGGCCCAGAGCTTCACCAAGTGGAGAGCCATCTCTCTCGTCTTGACTGCAGGCCGGGGTTACCTTCGGGGCCTCTCTGACCTCTGGGAGACCATGTCGGGTGCCCCCTGACCTCAACCCTTGACCTCTGCTGGCCTCACATATCCTCAAGTCCGCCTCCCCCATGAGAACGTGAACTCTGTTTACACGGATCGCGGTGCCCGCGGATGCTCGGTAAATGTTTGTTCGGCACATTCAGCAGCTTCCCGTTCCCTGGAGGGCTCACCCCGCACCCGCTCCCGGGGCCCTGTAGCCTTCCCAAACAGATGCCACCCACAGCTCCTCACCTGCAGGTGTCTGGGTTGAGCTCTAGGCCCCGCCCTTGGCAACGGAGGAAGCTGCGGCGTCGGCAGCGACAGCGGCAGGTCCTGGGGTCAGGGCGCTGGCGGCGCTGGGTGCAGCGTGGGCAGTGGGGCCTGGGGCTGGAGTGGGATGGGTGATGTCAGCTGGGGAGGGTGCTCCAGGGGCAGAGTCCCAGCCCGGAATGGAGCGGGGCTGGGGGCGGTGGTGGGGAGTGGAAGCCCTAGGAGGAGAAGCAATGTGTCTGGGGTGGGCAAGAAAAGTCTTCCCAGGAGCTGGCTCTGGGCCAGAGCGCACAGACTCGGGGAGCAGAGGGAAAGGGGGTGGGGGGGACACAGTGGGAGGAGAAAGAAGGGACAGGACTGCAGCTTCCTGACACACTCACACCCCCACCCATCCACACATTTCATCCTGGCCTGCTGGGCCTGGGCTCCCCACCCAGTGAGAGCCCAAGAGACTCACCTGTCTGGCTTCAGAGCACTCTCTCTCTTTTTTGGTCTGAAAAGTAAGAAGGACAGACAGCGACGAGGAGGAGAAAGAGGATCAGAAAAGCCAAGCCTCCTACTCTTTTACCCCAGATCCCAGGCCTACCCCAGTCTGAGTCCTGGCAATCTGGTCCCCACTGTGGAGTACCACCATGTGCGCCACCACACCCCCCCAACCCCGGGAACCTGGTCTCTGAGCTCAGAAGAGGGGCCTGGCTGGCACCTGCATTCACATTGGCTGTGTTCTTCCAGGGACATCTCGCCCAGCTGACTGCTCGGGTAACGGATCATGAGGATCTGTGTTCCAGAGATGGAGGAGAGACAGTGTGAGAGACAATGAGAGAGAGAGACAGGCGCTCCACGGGCTGGAGGGAGAAGAGCTCGCCCACCAGCCGCGGCTCTGGCCATTACCCCCAACCCCCTGTACCAACCCCGCCCCCCCCACCGTCACGCCACCACCCCCAGCACCAGACTCCACCCCTGCTGGGCATAGTGCACTGGCCCCAGCACCTGCATTCGGACTTGGTGCTGCCCAGTGGGCACGCACTCCAGGCCGTCGTCAGGGCAGCAGCCGCCGCAGCGCTGCACGGTCACACAGCTGGGCACCAGTTGCTTGGCCATGGTGCCCATGAGCTCCACGGTCAGGGGCACCACCACCTCCCGCGGCTGGCAGGTGGCACGGGTATACACATCTATCCAGGACACCACTGGGGGCAGATGTGAAAGGGTTAAGACCCCGCTGGGGTTCCTGCAGCTCCTCCCTGGTTCCTGTCTCCCCCCAACCCCCAGCAGCTGTTCTCCCTAATTCCTGTGTCACAGCTCCCCTCCACTGGCCCTCTCTCTGCCCTCACAACCTGCCTTCCCCTGCCCAGGAACCCAGGAACCCCACTGCTTCTACTCTTATGGGCAGAAGAAGAGTTTGTGTCTTGGAGAGTGGCTGGGATCACACAACGTGATGGACAGAACTCCTCAGTGCAGGAGTTACTGTTTCTTTCCTTCTTTCTTTAGTAAGATTTTATTTATTTGACAGACAGAGATCCTAAGTAGGCAAAGAGGCAGGCAGAGAGAGAGAGAGAGAGAGAGAGGAGGAAGCAGGTTTCCCGCTAAGCAGACAGCCTGACGTGGGGCTCAATACCAGGACCCTGGGATCACGACCTGAGCAGAAGGCAGAGGCTTTAACCCACTGAGCCACCCAGGCGCCCCAGGGTTACTGTTTCTATTACCTTTCTTCTGGTGGCCGAGGGCATCAGGCTGGGACACAGGGCCCTGTAGGAGAGAAGGGACCTGGACCCAAGGTGCACTCAAGGAAGGGCTGGCCTTGTGGCTGTCCCCAGGACTCTGCCCTTGCCATCAAAAGGCTTCAACTGCTCTGTGACATTTTTCCAGGATGCTCTGCTCCTGGGGTCACTCCAGCTTAACCTGTCCTCTCCTGGCCACCTGAGACCCTCCCCAGCCAGGCTACAACAGTGGTGGCGGCAGCAGCGGTGGCATCCAATCTCCAAGCCTGGTGGCCCCGCTGATTCGGAGGCGGCAGGTCCGGAGGGGGCACAGTGGGCACCAAACCAAGTCCTAAGGGCACTGAGCGGCTCCGCCCCCCGGCCGAGCCCAGGGGACGGGGTGGGGCAGGGGAGTGGCCCGGGGCTGGGTTGGCGGGCCCGCGGGCCGGCGGGCCTGCGGGGAGGGACTCTTCCCGGGGGATGCCCTGGACGGATCCCCGCCACGCCCCGGTCCGCAGCCCGACCCCGCGGATCCCCGAGGCAGAGGCCTCTCCGTGTCTCCCCATTTCCGCCAACCTTGAGAGAGGGCACGGCGAGCGGTTGGGATGTTGGGGACGCACGTACCTGGGCGGGGGCCAGCTGCAGGAGCGCAGCGAGCAGCAGGCGGCGGAGCAGAGGGCTCATGGTGCCCGCGGGGGCCGCGCGCCGGGGGCGCCCGCATCGCCCTAGCCCGGTGGCGCTGGGGGCGGCGGCAGCCAAAGCCCCATGGCGCGGGCCCGGGCGCGCCGGGCGGGGGCCGGGCGCGGGGGACCGCTCCTCCGCGGCCCCCTCCCGAGCCCTGAGCGCAGGCAGCGCAGCGCAGCGC